CGGTCTGGTGTTCTCAGGGCACGGGGTGGGCCGCTCGAACGTGCAGCTGCCCGGGTCTGCCGTGAGGCTGGTGCCGCTGTCGCCACACACGTCCTGGTGCGAGACCTGAACTTCCAGGCACACAGGCATGATGAGCGCCGCATCGAGGTGATCGCCAATGGCCTGCCGTTGTGGGGAGGCTCGCAACTTGCCGTTGACAATACACTGGTCTCGCCACTTACTTCTGCCGGCGTGCCCCAGCGCCTGAGAGGCAGCACAACTAGGGGCAGTGATGGACTGTAGCCGTGCTGCACTTGTTCTGAAGACCATCCCTCCGGTGAGGCCGGTTGCGGGTGCCCGTCTGCGAGCAGTGGCGGCACCAGGGTCACATCGCCGATCATCACATCACGGCGCTCCGTCGCGCCGAGACGCGCCATAAATGACAAGGTCGAGCCGGCCCGTCATCCCGTGCGGCTCCCGGCGTGGTGGTGTGCGCCAGCCACTGCTGAGGGACAACCAGTCCTTCAGCGGCTACGGCTTCCCGCGTGACGCGAATGGGAGCGCGCCTGGCTCACCTCTACCTCGTCACCACTCCGGCTCGCGCCCGGCCCGCACTTGATGGTGTCACATGCACGGTCAAGCTGCATGCGGCTGTCGCAACTAACCTCGGCCAGACTCGAGTCTATCGTGCGGGCAGCGGGCCGCCACCGCCAGGCGTCGAGGAGTTGGGACCCGGAGTCTCGTGCGGAGGTGACAGCGAGCCGGCGACTCGGGGATTCGTTGCTTTGGGGGTGCCGATCGAGCATGCGGAGTTCGTGCAATGCATTCTTGCTGCTAGACTTGAGGAAGAGCACGGCATGCTGCGAGAGCTGCAGGAGCTGCTTGATATGCAAAGCGCATGGCTGCGTCTACTGTACTGTTCCAGCCCGCGTGCCCAGCAAGTTTTGCGCACGGTGTTGGTGGACTCGGCCACATATGCGGCTGAACACGACAGAGTAGTCTGGACTATGCTCCAGCACCTGTTGGCGGACACCAGCTGGGCGATCACCGCGCCGCGAGCGGCCTTGCGCGGCGGCCACGGCGTCGTGTTGTGCCAGGAAAATATTTAAAGCTGGTGCCAAAGCATCCCCTTGGGTTTGTGTTTGGGGTTTATGGTGAACCAGATTAGCTAAATGAGGGGATGTGTTTAAAATATGTACGATTAATCGTGATCGGCAAGTGTGAATTGCGTGCATCAAAACTGGAGCAAACCGGAATCGCCAAATGAGGGGGTGTGTTTAAGATATATGTGTGTAAGAATCGCTAAAAGAAGGGGCGTGCTTATAAGCTATATGATGAAACGGAATCGCGAAGTTAGGGGGTGTGCTCAAGATATATGATTAACAGGCCTCGCCATATATATATATATATATACACATACATATGCGATGAGGGGGCGTGTTTAAGACATATGATGAAGCGGAATCGCCACATGAGAAAACGTGCTTAAGATAGATGATATCGGAATCGCCAAGTGAGGGGGTGTGTTTAAGATATATGATGAACAGGAATCGCCACATGAGGGTGCGTGCTTAAGATATACAACTATCGCCAGGGGAAGGAGCATTATTCAGATATCTGATGAACCGGAATCCCCAAATGAGGGGGGGCCCTGTTCAAGATACATGATGAACCGAAATGACCATTTGGGGGGGCATGTTTGGATAGAAATAAGGGGTCGTCGTTCCCAAGATGACCAACTCCTCATCCTTCACTCTGCTGACCCCGAGGCAGTGTTGAGGGACAATATTCATGCAACTATTTCCCGGAAAACGCGGCCCCTGTTTTGTCGTCCCGAAACCGTGAACCCCCACCCCTGTGAAGATTCATTTCACTACGAAGCTTGCCCCCTAAATTTCTAAACTTTTCATCCCAAACTGTGAAGGCGCAGGCTGAACCTTGAACCCCATGAAAACTTATTATTGTCGGTTGCCGCAGCCTTGCCGATCTCCAATACCGCCAATGTTGAGGGCGAGTCACCTTTGCTCAGCGACGTCCACGCTGACTCCACCGAGTCACCTCCCCTTGCCTCCCGCCTGGCGTAGCGCGTGTGTGAGCTCTGCGCCGCTGGAGCTTTCGTTGCACTGGGACCACGTGGACTTGTCGTAAAAGGGTGTGTGGGGGGGAAAAAAACCAAAGCTCGAAATATGGACTCTCGACTTCGCCCCTGTCGCCTGGAATCCGTGTCGAAACCCTAAGGCGTGAAGTACAAACCGTTGAAGCCCGAGAGCAAACCGGAGAAGTCACAAGTGATTTCGAACACTTTTGCCAAGACATGTGCAAACCGGAGAAGTCACAAGCGATTTCAGGCACTTTTGCCTAGACGCGTAGCAAATTTGTAGCAGGTTGACTTGTTTCAGAAGTCACAGGTGACACAAAACAGAGCTCACAAGTGGTCTTCCTCTCGAGAAGTCGCAAGTGAGCCCAAACAGAAGTCAGAAGTGAGTCACCTTCCCGCTTCTCTGCTGCTGCACCTCCCCTCGCGCATGGTGGGCGAGTGGAGCCCGCTTTGCACGAGCTTTTGGTTGACGTGCGCGAGAAAAGCGCTAGAGCGCAATCACATGCCGTGCGTGAAGGGGTCGACAGGACGCTCTGCATGGCGAGCCCGCTGCCGACCGCATGAACGGGTAGATGGAAAATAGGGGCGGGAAAACAAGGTTGAGGGTAGGAAGCTGGCAACGCAGGTGCAAGGATGACCACGAAAGGTATAAAGGCTCAAATGTTGGATCCGCGGGCGGAAGCGGGGGCAATCCGAGACAGCAGCTTCAGCGCTCCAGCGGCCACCAAGCTCGATGGCGAAGAGACAGAAGCGAGCTTGTTCGAGTCGCTGACATGACATCGATGTCCGTGTCAGCGATTCCGGATCGAGGTAGTCACCAACAGCTTGTCCAGATGGTACTCCGCCCAGCTCGCGATCGACGCCGCGATCGTTAGCACTCCGGGCGGCCCCGCCCGGTGCGGACACCCGCCCCGCAGCCGCCATGCAGGACGCAGCCCGGCACAAAAGGCGCCAAATTTAGCCCGACCTCCTAGACCGGTACGGGCGGCTGTGCGCAGGCTGGGTGCAGAGTTGGTCCGGAGGCTGCGAGGCGTGCCTGCGGCTTCCATGAGGGTCGTGCGTTGCACGCGGACGTGACAGGAAGAGGCGCGTGAACAAAAATCCACTGTCGACACATTTATGCTGGAGTTCCGCAGCTGCCCAGTTCACCCGCCTCCTCGCCTGTTGCCGCGCCTCCGGTAAGCGAGTTAAGCTACGTCCTTCTTCCTTGACTCGCTTCGGCAAAGCCTCGCGACATGGCAGCAAAAAAAAAAGAATCATGGCAGCCGTCCGGAGGACGCTGTCCTCGCCAAAGCAGCACGTCGCGTCATGGCAGCCTTCCCGCACCGGGCCGCAGACCTTCAGTCGCCAAAAAATGGAAATTGCATCTAATTCTGCGCATATCGAAAAGCGACCACAGATGTAGTGAGAAGGTTGGTTTCTTCCATGGACCACATCGCGTACCCATATCGGTGAACGACAGACATTGCAGGCTGCTGCAGCCGGCGATGCAGATGCTGTGCGGAAAGCGTGTGTTGCCCAAATGCGACAACTGATTCTTCGTGTTTGGATTCAAGCGTCGAGGTTGGAAAGCCGCGATCGCAGACGATTGATGCTGACCGTGGATGCACAACAGTGCGCTGCTTAAAGATGTTCAAACAAAAGCTACGTAACTTTTTGAGATCGTATTGCTGTGAGGCGAACTGCCGGACATCTTGCAGCGCAGGGCGCTCGTTCTTGATTTGGGCATGCGGTAGACGTGCGCATGAGTCACGGCTGCATGAGCAAAAGGCGGGCTGGTCACGTGGAGGCGGACATGCAGGGGATCCTTCCGAGAAAAGTGCATGCACATGTTGCGACTGCTGCTGAACAGGTTCTCAAGCTGTTGCATGCCCACGGCGTTGACTTGGAGGCAGTGCACTGAGCGCACTGACCTGTGGTGGCTTGCGTGTTGTGGTGTGGCATGGGACATGAATTGGGCTTCAGGCACTCGACCGTTTCGGCCGCGCAGCCATACATCTCGCTTGCGAGCACGGCAAGGCATTGTCCACCGAGCCAAGCATCGCTGCAGAAGGATTGTGCCAAGACGTTCGCGATACTTCGTGTGCATGATCCGCTTTTTGCGTGTATAGGGTTCTGCCTACTCTCGCATCTACAAGCCGGATGCCATGAATGTGTGTGCGTGCCAGGCACCTGCAATGAAATATTTGCTTGATTGCGGCGCTCGTCCAGGGATAGAGGCTTCGCCAAAGTCTTTGACTCATATTCGTGAGCCCACGGCGTCCTGTGCAGGACAACAGCGGCAGGAATGCCTTGCATCTCGCGTGCTGCTGTGAGGCTGCGAGCCGCAGAAGTGGCCTGGCTTTTTTGTGCCATTCCGTTGCCTGTTTTGCAGGATCCTTCGGTAGGGCAGGCGCTTGCAAGTCAGAGCCTGAACGAAGTTTGGTGTGGCTCATTGTTGGTGTGGCATTGCGGAGCGAGAGGTCAATTTCCTCAGCTCGTGTTCCAGTCGGATGCTCACGGGAGGCACTTCTTGTCGCAAAGTTTTTCGGGACGTGTATCCTGATGGTATTGGATTTTCGATGGTGTCCCCGTGGTCTCGGTGACTGCGGCGGTGCCACTTGCGGGTAGTGTGGTGCTTCTAGTCCTGCGCAGGACTCCGTTGTTTTACGCCGCGCTCAATGCACATCCGCATTCTCAGGGCGAGGTGACGAAAGCGCAAGGGACCTGGCAAAGCTGCAGCATCACGTGCTCACATAGGTTTGACTTGGCATGTGGCGGCCATTCTTGTGCTTTTCGGCCCCGAGAAATGTCAATGTCTTAGATAGCGCCGGGCTTGGTTTCCACATTTTGCAACGCCGATCAGATTTCTGCTTCCCGCCCCGAGATATGCATGCAATTTTTCGGTTGCATTTAATTACTCGATTGACATCCGTTTGCCGCCATGGGCGCTGATATGCAGTTTCCTTTCGCACCTCGCTTTAGAAGGGTGCATTTGTGGGCAGCAGGTGTCGCTGCTGTCATTTGTGGTGATTTCGTCGCTTGGCAACCTGCTTTCGGGCAAGGCCGGGTGGGCGAAATGGCAACAAGTTACTCGGGGAAGATGTGTTTACGAGTAGTAAGGTCAAGACAAGCCAACTGCAAAAGGCTTCGCTCAGATGTCGACTGGAAGGAGGAGAGAACGACAGAGAGAATGAAAGAGACGAGAGCGAGAGAGAGAGAGCTGGTTTCCTTGTCGCGGTTTCTTGTGTTGCTTCACACAATCGTCGAGCCGAGTTGCCTTCGTGTAGCAGCTGCTTTTCTTTCCAGCCCCTCCAAAACGGTCGGGAGCGCTTAACGCGCGTGGGTAAGGAGGAAATCCCCTTGCCCCTAGCCCTAGCGAAAGAAAAGGGGTATCCTAGAGAAAGAAAGAAGGAACGACAGAAACACCGAAACAATAAAGAACAAACCAACGAAATAAGTACAGAACGACACACAGACAGAAAGAACGAAAAGACAGAAGGGACAACGAACGAAATAAATAGCGAACAAACGAATGACATTACACACAATGTCAGACAAACAGAAAAATAAACAGCATGTAAACCAATGAAAGAAGTGTTTGAGTAAAGAAACTGTGAAATACAATAACAATGGAAATGAGATAGCAAAATAAGGGGATAAAGAAACAGTTGTATATACAGAGCAAATTAAAGAAAGCAGGAATCAGAGAAGCAACGATCGAAAGCGGCACAATGAGTCAAGGAGGGCCACAGTACTGCCCTCCAAGCTAGTACATAAATAAAAAATAATCGATGTACATACACATTAATAGATAGTCAGGATATAAACCAGACTAATCTTGACATGGCTTTGTACGCACGAGGCGATTTGCACTGCGTGTTCGCGGACTTAATGGGTTTCACGACGAGCACATACAGTGATATTTGTGGCTGTATTTTCTGATTCCGACTGCCGCAGGCATCGGCTGTGCACTTATCGGTTACTTCGTGGCTGCGCTGTTTTACATGCTTTTGGTCAGCAGCCTCACAGAAGTGTCTCAGAAACACTTGATCATGTGATTGATGTTTTCCGCCCCACCCCCCAATGCTTGCTTATTTCGCTTCTGCTCAAGTCAAGACGCTCAGGTGATGAGCCGGATGGGTGATGCGGAAGGTCCCAGTCAGGTCGCAGCTTGCATTGGGCCCAGGACTGATGTTCCGGAGAGCAGGGGTGAGGAAAGCTTGGCCTTGTTGTGTGGTCGTTATTGGCAGTGCTGCTCGCTGCATCTTGCTGTTGGTGCTACCCGCGGTGGTGGTGGTTGGTGGCGGTGGGGGTGGCGGTGATGCTGCCAGTGGTGTTGATCATGGCATGCGTTGGGGTGTTTTGATCCACATCATGGCGACTGAGTTTCAATGTGCTGTAGACTATGGGCATCTTCAACAGGAACGCACAGTTGTGCTCAGAGTTACGAGTACGCCCAGCATCTTGCAGGACATCATTCCTGGCTGGGCTCATGGAGTGCTTGAAGTGCACTCTCATCATTGCCGACATAGCTGCCGCGACCGGTGCTCTGATGGAGGACAGATGGAAGCGGGGTTCCAAGGTCCATGCCTGGCTGGTCGCATCGGTACCTGCCAGGAGCTAACCGAGTCTCCTTCGGCTCTTCAGCCTTTGTGGTGGTTGCTTTTCTGCGCCCTCATCTTGTTGCTCAACACGAAGCTCATGTCGATGTCCGTGCAAACGCTGATGGCGATGACCCTGTCAAGCTTGGCTATTGTGGTCGTATATTTCTTGTTTTCGTAGCTAGGCTGCATGTGTGGATCGAGAGCGCAGCTCAGACAAGCAAGACTGCATGGACATGTGTCAGGAGCGAACGAACGTTTGACCTTGCGCAAGAGGCGATGGCAGGTGAGCATGGCCAGTTTGGTGACTGGTACTGTATGTTGAAGGGGTGCTGCAGACGTCAGTAGTGTAGCCGAAGCAGAAGCTTCTCCCTCTGTGAGGAGGAGACATCTTGAGTGATGTCTCGTGGCTCGCATTGTTCAAGTCACTTCCGGCTGGTATCTGGTGTTTCCTCGGGCTGGAGCAGATGCTCTGGTTTGGCAAGTTCGCAGTAGATCTGAGAACAAGACCCTTGGCGGCTTTAGATGCCTTTCGAGTGGAGATGTGATGCAGTCGATTTGCACTTGTGATTCTCGCTCCCTCAGATCTGCCACGCGCTCTCAGCTGGGCCTATGCTACGCTCTTCATTTTGGCAATGATGACTTTGATTTGTAGTCTGGCGGCTTCCCCAGGACGGATGTTGACAAAAGCTGACCGGCCTGAAGGTTGTTCTGTAGTCTCATAATTTCAAAAGGGCCGCATCGAGCCGCTGAGAGCATGTTCCCAGGTATCCACGTTACCACGCATCAGAAGTTCCCACTGTTGGTTGCTTACTTCGACGTTTTTGGGCAGAGCAGTTTGAGCCGCTACTTCGCATTGCTTCTGCTCTTCGGCATCCTGGCCACCCGGCTTGGCACAGTCCGGCCTAGGACCTAGACGCTTGCATGGGGTTTTCCGGTGGAAACAGCCTGCAGATTGTTAAGCAATCTGGGTTTCAGGGCTGCCTTCCTAGATGAAACCCGCGCAAGCAAGCAAGCGCCTGACCTGCCCCTAGTTTTTTACTCTTCAAGAACCTACGAAAGCAGTGCAACTTGCGGTATATACATCTGCGTTTCGGAGCGCATGGCATTTCCACAAGGAGCTTTGCCAAGCCTTGAAGCAAACATATCCGTCCGGAGACCCTGAAGTCAAGTCCAAGATCAGGCCTAAAGCTTGCATGAGACCAGGACACAAACGTGCGAAACATGAAAAAATGAGAAGAAGCAAACGCATAAACACGAAGGGCAGACCCATGCAGCAGGCACAAACTAGTAAAGACATCGAGAAGAACGCGTAAACATGCGCAGACTTGGTTCTTGAACTGTGAGTTGTGCCAGTAAGCCGGTCACGATTCGGCATGGATGCCTTTCCGAAACGGAGGCTGAATTCACTGGAGTGATTACAGAGCCCTGCTTCGCGACATGTTCAGCCACGCGACATGTTCAGCCACGCAGGAGGCAAAAAAGCAGCGACCCCGACAAGACACAGAAGTAACATGAAATAACGGGTCAGAGTGGCAGGTCAGCCGGCCCCTTGCACACTCGAGGTTGGCAAGAAGAAAGGAGTAGCATGAAGACAAGACAGGTCCAGGTTCAGCATGAGGAAAACCAGCAGCGTGAAACAAGCCAGGTCCAGCATTGAAAGAGAGCGCACCAGCATTGCCAGCATAAGAGAAAGCGCGAGGCGTGCACGTGGGGTGAGGAGAAAATGAGTGGCAGACTTTCAGGTTCCATAGTATGGTCTGACGTCCCGTCTAGGATGCTTTGGGAGCCGAGGCCTCGCTGCATGTCTTTACCTTCGTGGCCGGGCAAGTGGTTACGCAAATGGCAGAAGACTCATTGCTTCCGGCATGCTTGGCACAGCGGGATGGACAGACAGGACAGGTGTATTTATGTTGGCAGCCTTGTAGTCGTAAAGTATGTAAATGGATGGACACGCGAGTCTGTGGGTGCGAGGAGCTCCAACATATTCCTCGGCAGTAGTTGTCGTGGTGGCGCTCCTCTTTTTGGAAGTTGTTTTCCAAGCCCTGGATCACCAGTACGAGCCCGCCATGCAATTGAGTTCTTGTCAGAGAGTTTTTGTTGCATTCGCCAGCAAACAGTAATGTGAGCGCGCGAAGTTTCGCATAGGTCGGGGCTTTCTTCATCGCTGAGCAAATAAAACATGGAGCAAAGAAAAGCAGCACAGTCGAGGAAGAGATCAGAGCTACCTTCACCAGCGGTGCTTCGATCTGCGCCCTTGGTGGCTACATGATTCAGCTGTGCTGCTTCATTTTGATCAGATACAGAAACCAACATGAGGCAGGGCATTGCTTGCGCAGGTGTGTGTTTTTTGGAGTCCATTGCCACATGTGTCAAAATGGCGCAGGACTCCATGTTCCTGTCTCCCTTTGGAATGCTGGGCGCTGGTACAGCTTTGGTGCTCACGATTGTCTTCATGGCCAGCGTGCTGTCGTCACCTGTGTTCCATCCACTGAACTTCTGCACCCCAAAAGCACTTGAATGTCCGGGTTGTAACGCGCACATATCAGGCCTATGATGCTATGCGAGTTCAACTGTTTGCAGACCCGTGGCCGATAAGGCGGAGTCGCGGTTTCGCTGGCCTTACTGCTGCTCGCTGGCTGTCTTCATGAGTCGTACCGACGTCAACAGAAGCGACGGGTGGCACGAAGTGGCAGCACCTTGCCCACATGGGCCGAGCGTGAGAGTGCTTGAAGTTCAACGTCCGGTTGGTTCCTTCCAAGCTTCACAGCCCCTGCATCCCAGGCACGATCTTGCAGAACATGGAAACCCGCACACCGCAGCCTGAAGCAAGGGCATGAGCTGAGCTCTGCCACTGAGCAGTGCTCAGGAATTCGATGTGCCTCGCGCGGACCCGCATAGGCCCATGGGCATGAGCGAGCACAAGCAAGACGAAGGCACAAGCCCTCTCTATCGAATTCTGACTGCTTGCCAGTTTTTTCGGCAAAACAGAAGAAAGTTGGAGCTGTGTCTGAGCCTTCTACAACATTACCGAAAGTTGAAAGGTTGCTGCAACTTGCGGCGGATATCAACCACCGCGACTCCTTCGGTCGTGCCGGACCCCTCTGCATCCAGAGCCTCGGCATGTCTCGACGACAATGCACAGAGGTTGCTCTTCACCATGCCGCAGAAGAAGGCGCCTCGGAAGTAAGCCGTGATTAATGTGATTTGGCTGACTTCAGGTCAGCTGCTGTCAGTCCGTCTCTTGTTGAAGCACAAGGCAGATCCAGGTGCCCAGGCGGGCAGCTCAGACTACAAACTGGCTCGTAGTCGCTTTTGCACAAGCCCGAGCAAGAAGATAAAGATCGAAGGACCGGGAGAAAGAAACGCCTTTGCGGCTGGCATCCAGTGATGCGGCCGGGAACCTGTGAACAAACTGTCGAAGGTAGTTGTCATGCCAATTCTTTCCTTCTTCATTCAGCTTTTGCGGCTCGAGCTCCCCTTCCTTCATCATGTTAGGCTTCATGTGAGGGCGCGTGCCCGCTTGAAGTTCAAGTTGAGAGGTTGAGCAGCCAAAGGCCTGGTCATGTACCTGTGCCGCTGCGGAAGCACAGCCAATGCTTCGAGTTCTAGTTTCAAGTTCCAGGCATGGCTGAAGCCGAGCCGAAGAAGTGTCCTGGCGTCCAGAAACTTGAGACGTGAACCCCAAAGGAAAGTGTTCAAAAGACCGTCTTGTTTTTTATGCACGGCTGAGGAGCTTTTCCATGGGCATAGACTTGGGGACTACATACTCTTGTGTGGGAATCTTCAAGGATGGAGAGGCGGGACTTCTTATGCCGTTCGGTTCCAGACAAGATGTGACATGGTGCTGGCAGCAGGTGCAGATTATTGCCAATGACCAAGGCAACCGAACGAACCTTGGCTACTTGTACGGCGAAGTTGAAACCCGGTGAACGAACTGTCTACGCTTCATGTGATACCTTTATCACCACAAGCAGCAGACAGGCAAAAGGACAGCCTTGCGCTGCATTTCCGCAGGACGCCATCTTATGTCGCGTGGACGGAGAACGAGAGACTCCTTGGTGATGCTGCCAAGAATCAGGCGCGATGCTGATGCACGTGCGCAGCCGAAGGCTTTTGCAGCAAAAGGCAGATCAAAAGTCCGTTCTGGAAGGTTGCAAGCAATCCTACCAACACGGTTTTCGATGCTAAGCGCCTCATCGGACGCAAGTTCCAGGACTTTGACGATCGAGCCTTCCGCCCATCGTGTGAACTAGAACCTAGAGCTCTGTGTGCAGCTGCCCGAAAAGCGTGCACAACTCTAGAAGCAGACCGCACTTGAGACTCCAAGCGGGTTCCGGTTCTCTCTTCAGGACCCGGTCGTGCAGGCCGACCTGAAGCTGTGGCCCTTCAAGGCCCGTTCAAACAGGGATCTTCTGTATTAACTGTTCATTCCGTGTCCTCAACTGGTGGGGAAAAGGACCAGATCCGGTGTGCAATCAGGCCCCTGATTAGTCGAGGACTAGAACTTGAACTCGGCATGCAAGCCATGTTTGCTTTGGCAGTCTGCAGTGCGTTGCCTCCCAAACCCTGTGCCAATGGAGAGGTCGTATCCGATGGGTCAGCAGATGACAAGCCTTTGATTGAGGCGGTCTGTGGCATGTAATGACAGCTGTGAAGCTTTGGGCATGCCGAACACTTGCAAAGAAGGCTGTGAGGGACAGGCGAGCACAGTTCGCATGTTCGGGATCCTTGGTCCAGTGTATCTCAGCTGGCGTGAAGCTGTCAGGTGGTGTATCAGTCAGTCGCCAAGACCTTTCATCCAGAGGAGATTTCCTCCATGCCGACCGACAGCACTTGCACCAAGGTTGCATCGAAGCCCAGACTCCTGCCTTTGTCCGGCTCAGGATTCTCACCAAGATGAAGCAAACGGCAGAGGCGTCGTTGAAGTTTTTCCCGGGCTGATCGCAGCTTCATCGTGTTGAGATTGCCCTGTAGGCTTTCATTGGTCAGCGTGTTCGAAACGCAGTGATTACTGTCCCTGCTTATTTCAATGACTCCCAGAGGCCAGCGTGATATACCTGCTCTGCTTAGCTGCACTTGTCTGGCAGAAGTTTTCAGCTGCGCAGGCAAGCTACGAAGGATGCCGGTGAAATTGCCGGACTGCACCTTGCCAATCTCCAGTCAATGTCTGACGGGCGCCGTGAGCATGCTTCATGCGGAGCTTCGATGACACAGATTCGCCCCGATGCTCAGGAACGTCATGCGAATCGTCAACGAGCCCACCGCGGCAGCAATTGCGTACGGCCTGGATGCGAAGTCGAAGGAGAAGAAGAGCGGTGCTGTCGCCTGGCACAGCGGAATAAGGAAGGGCTTTGCCGTGACCGGATGCCTTACCACTGTTACCAGTCGTGATACCGTTTGAGTGGCGAGATGCAACGCACGCCTAGACCCTAGTGACTTGTGGCTTCAATGTTCTGAAGTGTACAAAGCGTTCCAGCACATCGGGGGCCGGCGAATTCTTGTGAGAACGACTCGTGCATTGACTTCGCAGCGAAGCGCCTCCCCACTCGTCGCGACACCGCAAAGAGCTCAACAGAGGGGCAAATCTCGACTTTCCGGGCTGCGTCGAAGAGCCACAAGGCTAGCAACTGTCACAGGTGGGACATAGGACGTAGGAAGCACACTTTCCTGTCGCAGCTGTTGCCGTAGAAAGTTTTGCCCAGTCACACATGACGCAGTTACTAGTTGAGAGCAGCTTGCTCTGTCGGAGTAGTGCGGCCGGCGCCCACAGTGGCTTGCATCGTGTTGGCTTGAAGAGCCATGATGCTGGCCTCCATATGGCGCCGCCATGGCATCTTCGGTGGGAATGTGCAGCATTGAAACCTGTTCTGGTTTCTTTGCTTTCAATTCCCCATCGCAGCTGTTGTTGTGAAGCATTTTGAGGCCACCGTTTGTTTTGTGCGAGAAATTGTGCGGTTGGAGGGAGTGCGGCCGGCGCCCACAGTGGCTTGCATCGTCTTGGCTTGAAGAGCCATGATGCTGGCCTCCATATGGCGCCGACATGGCATCTTCGGTGGGAATGTGCAGCATTGAAACCTGTTCTGGTTTCTATGCTTCAATTCCCCATCGCAGCTGCTGTTGTGCTGGTCTTTGCCCGAACCTCGAGAGCACGGGAGAGAGAGAGAGAGAGAGAGAGATTTTTGCGATGTTGTAGTTTGGCACTTGCTACAGAGGACAACGAAGCCAAGGTGTGTGGCAACTACTGCAAGCCCCCGTAAAAGCGGGGTCAATGCTGACAGCAACCACCAACACTCACACAGAGCCTGTCGAAGCCTACGAGGCGGGGATCAACCTGAGCGTGTGAGTGTTGGGGGGGCAGTCATGTTTCACTCCAACAGACGAACGCGGACATTGGCGTAGCGCTTGTGCGCAGGGGTTCAGGGGACACCCCCTGGCCCCAAACGTCACGCAAGCAAGCAAGAGAGAG